ATATAAGTAGCCTATATAAAACTGCAAAATAAACATTCATCTATCGGTAAAAGTACTTTTGTACTTTCACTCGAGTAAAATTGAAAACTGAGTACTTTTGCTTTTACTGGAGTAATATTTTATTATACGGATCTGTACTTTTACTCAAGTACTTGATTTGTGTACTTCGTCCACCACTGCCTGTAGGTGAGTCACACATTAGACACAGTAAGTCATTCAGATTTACTAGATTAAGAGAATTGAGAAACAAATGCTTATATATTATATATACTTATTTTTTTCAGATCTCAATTTTAAGCTTTATTTGTTTATAATAAACTGCTATGAATCAAATATATCATGTTTTCACAGGTGACTCATTTTTGCCTGCCTCAGCTTCTGCCCCTGTTGAAGCACACGATGTCCTACCTGCATGAGATTTTTGAGTTCTATGAGGAGATCCTCACCTGTCGCTACCCTTATTCTTGCTTCAAGACTGTCTTTGTGGATGAGGCTTATGTGCAGGTCTCATCGTATGCATCCATGAGTATTTTCAGGTATACAAGCTGTTCTTGAAAGTAAAAATAACTTCAGTTTACAACAGCATTTATTTTTCCAATATAAAAGTCTTGGTAACACTTTATTTTAAGATGTCCTTGTTACAGATGTCACATATACTTACTATTATAATAACCATTAATTATGCATAATTACATTATTATGCAATTAACCCTAAGCCGGACCCTAACCATATACTACATGTAGTTAATAAATATTATTCAGTACTTAAATGTATAATTACACTGTATCAAGGACACCTTAAAATAAAGTGTAACCTCAGTCTTTACTTGTCTCTTGTCGCCAACTAATGGCAGAACAATGTAACTAATATCACCAGCACGAACACACACACCATTTCTCAATACTAGGGCTGGCTCGATACCACTTTTTCAGAACCGATCCCGATCCGATACCAGAAATTCTGAGTATCGGCCGATACCGATATTGATCCGATACCAGTGCAGTTTTTTTTAATCAGTGTAGAATTTCTATACCTCAATGTGTGTTGAACTGATCATCACTCTTTTGTGTGTTACACACAATACTAAATATAGACAACTTTCTTACAAAGAAAAAATAACAAACGGAAGAAATATATAATAATCTATGACAAAAATAATATTATAAACTAGGTTAGTGGATAATTCAGTAGCAAAAGTTACTCTAGAAAAATCATGAGTACACAATAATTTTATCAAATCTAAACATTTAGTGAAACATCATTATTTAGTGGGGAACAAATAAAAGTGAGTAAGTTTTGGACTAAATCTGGTAAAATGTTACACATTGCTCTTTGTATGGTTGTAAAATACATTCATGTAAAAAGTAATATATTTATAAATAAATATGTAGGGCCTACTATAAAATTAAAAGATATTTCTTTTAAATGTATAGCACAGTAATGAGGCAGCGCAACATATGATAGATAAGATGAACAAGAAAGGCTATCAATAATCTGTCATTGTGCAAAAGTATTATGATACGAAAGGCTCCAATACAGAGCGGCACAAAGAGCTTATGCGCATCCCGTGCACAGAATGATGCGCTTAAGGCAGCACGGAGTCACAGCGCGCAGGCACAGCTCTCCATATAGAAAAGTTCAAAGCACAAAGGAAAGAGATATTGATGCATAGTGTATTAAATCTGTGTGATGGTTTGAGCCTTTTTTTGAGCCAGTGTTGTGATCTAACACGGTAGAACACGATTTAGAAACAAGCAAGATAAAGTCCTTTTATGCAAAACCATTTATCTTTATTTACAGATCAAGTATAATATTAGGAACATTAAATCATCTTGGAGAGAGTTTCATC